ATCATAAGAAGGGTGAGTACAGTAAAATAAAATATTTTAAGAGAGACCACATTCATTTAACTTTAATTACAGTATAATTGTTCCATTGTTACTTATTCTTGTTAATCTCTTACTGGGCCTAATTTGTAAAGTAAACTTTATCCTAGTTATGTGTGTATAGGAGAAAACAGTACATGTAGGGCCCAGTACTAGCCAAGGTTTCAGGCATCCACTGGGGGTCCTGGAATGTATTCCCCAAGGGGAAGGGGGTACTACTGTATATTGATAGTGGTCTGAACAACTAAGTGAGATTTTTTTTTTTTTAAGATTTTGTTTATTTATTTGACACAGAGAGAGACAGCGAGAGAGGGAACACAAGCAGGGGGAGTGGGAGAGGGAGAAGCAGGCCTCCCGCTGAGCAGGGAGCCCTATGCGGGGCTCAATCCCAGGACTCTGGGATCATGACCTGAGCCAAGGCAGACACCCAACGACTGAGCCACCCAGGCGCCCTTAAGTGAGATTTATAAGGGCAAGCCAGAGGCTCTCTTCTTTGCCTTGACTTACTCAACATAAGGCTACGATGAACCCCAAAATCTTGCCGATCAGATCTGTAGATGATGTGAAACGAGATTATTTATTTCAAGAGATGGTAATGAGGATTAAAATTTGAGTCAAAGCCAAGGTATAACTTATTGGTTATAAAGAACCGCAATTTGATTTTTAAAAGAATCAGCTATACTTGACATGAGTGGGTTAATATGTAAAAAAATCTAGGAATGTTTAATGCTTACTTTGAATCAAGCTGATGATAAAATTGCTTTAAAAATGTTACCTTGGGCAGTATTTTTTTTTTTTAAGATTTTATTTATTTATTTGACACATAGAGACAGCGGGAGAGGGAACACAAGCAGGGGGAAGGGGAGAGGGAGAAGCAGGCCTCCCGCAAAGCAGGGAGCCCAATGTGAGGCTCTACCCTAGGGCCCTGGGATCATGACCTGAGCTGAAGGCAGACATTTAACGACTGAGCCACACAGGCGCCCCAACCTTTGGCAGTATTAATAAAAATATTTGCTCTGATTTTGGGAGATAATAGTTTCACTGGACTCTTAGAAAAATAATCCATGTTTAGGGTGCCTGGGTGGCTCAGTTGGTTGAGCGTCCAACTTTTGATTTTGGCTCAGGTCATGATCTCGGGGTCCTCGGATTGAACTCCATGTAGGTCTCTGCACTCAGCTGGTAGTCTGCTTGAGATTCTCTCTCTCCTTCTCCCTCTGTCCCTCCTCTCTCTCAAATAATTAAAAAAGATTTATTTATTTATTTGAGAGAGAGAGAGAGAGAGAGAGAGTTTGCATGGGGGGGGGAGAGGCAGAAGGAGAAAGAAACTTAAGCAGACTCTGCTCTGTCTGAGCCCAGAGCCCGACATGGGGCTCAATCCCATGACCCGGAGATCATGACCTGAGCTGAAACCAAGAGCTGGACGCCTGACCGACTCCATCACTCAGGTGCTCCAAAAAATGAATCTTAAAAAAAAAAAATCCATGTTCATTTTAGGAAAATGATGATCAAAACCAAAAAACCCTACAACCCCACCACTCAGATAATACACACACACGGTACATGTATTTTTTTTTAAGATTTTATTTATTTATTTGAGAGAGAGAGAATGAGAGATAGCATGAGAGGGAGGAGGGTCAGAGGGAGAAGCAGATTCCCTGCTGAGCAGGGAGCCCGATGCGGGACTCGATCCCAGGACCCCAGGATCATGACCTGAGCCTAACCAACTGAGCCACCCAGCCGCCCCATGGTACATGTACTTTTATAGAACTTGTGGTTGTTTTCCTTTTTGCTTAAATTATCTTTGTGGCAGCAGATGTATCTCTAAATCCTTGGATCCTTAGATTCTGCTGAGTGTTTTTTTGTTTTTGTTTTTAAAGTTTTTATTTTAATTCCAGTTAGTTAACACAGTGTTATATTAGTTTCAGGTGTATAATATAGTGATTCAGCACTTCCATACCACACTGGGTGCTCATCACAATAAGTGTCCTCCTTAATCCCCATCACCTATTTAACCCATCCCCCTACCCACTTCCCCTCCGGTAACCATCATTTTGTTCTCTATAATTTAAAGAGTCTATTTCTTGGTTTGTCTTTTTTTTTTCCCCTTTGCTCGTTTGTTTTGTTTCTTAAATTCCACACATGAGTGAAATCATATGGTATTTGTCTTTCTCTGACTTATTTCACTTAGCATTATATACTCTAGCTCTAGCTATGTGTTTGCAAATGGCAAGATTTCATTCTTTTTTATGGCTGAATAATATCCCATTATATATATATATATATATCATATATATTACATCTTTATCCATTCATCAATTGATAGACACTTGGGCTACTTCCATATCTTGGCTATTGCAAATAATATGCTATAAACATCGGGGTGCATGTATCCCTTCGAATCAGTATTTTTGTATTCTTTGGGTAAATACCCAGTAGTGCGATTGCCGGATCTTGGGGTAGTTCTATTTTTAAATTTTTGAGAAACTTCCATGTTTTCCAGAGTGGCTCAGCAGTTTGCATGGCCACCAACAGTGCGATAGGGTTCCTTTTCTCCACAACTTCACCAACACCTGTTGTTTCTTGTGTTGTTTTTAGCCATTCTAACAAGTGTGAGGTGATATCTCATTCTATCTTCCCAGTGTTAAAAGCTCCCTGCTTGGGGCGCCTGGGTGGCTCAATTGTTAAGCATCTGCCTTCAGTTCAGGTCATGATCCCAGGGTCCTGGGATCGAGCCCCACATTGGGCTCCCTGCTCCGCGGGAAGCCTGCTTCTCCCTCTCCCACTCCCCCTGCTTGTGTTCCCTCTCTCGCTGTATCTCTCTCTGTCAAATAAATAAAATCTTAAAAAAAAAAAAAAGCTCCTTGCTTAGTGGTGATTCTCAGCTGCCAGAAATTATAATCATAGACCTTCAGAGCCAGAAGGGCAGTTTCATCAGTATCACGTGGGAACTTGTTACAACTATAAATTGGGAAAGACCAAATGGATCAGAAACTCTGGGGGTGAGAACTAGCAATTTTGTGTTTTAATAAGCCCTCCAAGTGATTCCACTCCACACTGAAATTTAAGAACGACTGACCTGAGTTAAACCCTTTGAGTTTTTCAGATAGAGAAGCTAAGATCCAAAGAGGTTGTCACAAGTCAATTTAAGAAAGCAGCAGAATCATCAGGCAGTGATTCCTAGGATGACCATCACGCCTCAGGGAGATGTGTTTACTGGGCTAACTGCTAAACAGTATTTGAAAGAATGCTGGGTGGAAATAAGTGTAATGGGGGAAGAGTCTGTTTACCACTTAACTCACCTGCTGGGCTTGTTACAGTTCAACAGTAGCCTTTTAATTCACTGAAGTTTAGTCTGAAAGAAAAGTTTCATCTAATTTGTTTTATTCACTTGCTTATTCATATGTATTTTATTCCCTGAAGCAAGTTTATGTATCATTTAAGTAACTACCCCATTCTGTCACTACTGCCCTCTAAGGAATCTTAGTGTGACCCTACAGCTTTCATTTTTAACAAGCTCCTTACACTTGAGAACCACTAATACAGATGTTTGAAGTTAAGAAAAAAACAGATGGACTGGACTAACATTTTCAATATATATATTTTAAAGATTTTATTTATTTGACAGAGAGAGAGACAGCGAGAGAGGGAACAGAAGCAGGGTCAGAGGGAGAGGGAGAAGCATGCTTCCTGCTGATGCAGGGGCTCCATTCCAGGACTCTGGGATCGAGGTCTGAGCCGAAGGCAGAAGCTTAACGACTGAGCCACCCAGGTGCCCCATTTTCAATATTCTTTAATTTGGGTTCCACATTGAAAATTCCAAATAATTTGCTAATGTGTTTATCATACAGCCAATATAACAACACAAGAGATTGATCCAGAAATTTGTAATGGCATAGCATTCAAATGATTTTTTGAAAAGTATAATAGTTTTTTCATTATCTGGGGAAGAAAAAGGTTGGGGGGGGGGGGATCACTGTAGGAGGGCCAAGACATCACAAAACCAAGAACAAGAGTTTAAATAATGCATCCTGTTCTGAACTACAAATGTAGTCAACCCTGACTTTGCATGGCATAAATTAAGGTCACGGACAACTCAGCAGTTGTCTGAAACTTTAAAGATTACATTGTGTGGAGTAGTCAAGATTTAGGAAAACAGATACAGTATCTGGGAACAAGAACAGAATAACTGCAAAATCAAAATGGTCTACCTTGAATTTTTGTAGCATTTTAACGTTTTTCAAGGTACTTTCACATAAACTTTTATTTTATCCATGTAACAACGCTGTGAGGAGGGAAATTAGCATCAGCAAAACCGTTTTCGAAACTATAAATACTGGATCTAGGAAGAAAAAAGGCAAGGAAGCGGACAGAAGCAAAGAAATGACAGAAAAGGATGTCACTGAGGAAGCGAATCACAGAGAGGGCAAGCACAAAAAGCTGAGAGCCAGAGGACGGGGAATTGAGAGCAGAACGGAGCCTAACCTGGCGGGGGGTCGGTGGGCAGCTGCTTTAGCGGGCAAATAAGTGCAAAAAAGCCCGGGTGCGGGAAATTTGGGATTAGGAAACTTGAATGTACTTATCTGTACCAAAGAGAATGGATGAGGTCAAAGAAAAGAAAAATGGAAAGCAAGGAGGCACTTAAAGCTGCACGGAAGTTTTGTGGGCTCCTACTCTACAGTCCAACGACCACGGGGTTCGGCCTCAGGTTGAAAATAACGCGGAGGGGAGTCGCACAGGACTCAGGCGGGAAGACAGCAGAGCCCGGCAGCGCGTTCACTCAGACCAACAAAGGCCGCCGGGGACATTTCCCGAGCCACGCAACTTGCGGGGGCCGAAGGGTTAACGGCGCGCACGACTCCCGCGCGCTTCCCGGCCCCCACTCCCGCCGTCGCTAGGAAACGCCGAGAGTGGGGGAGGGGCGGGCGGCGCGGCCGAGGGTGGGAATCTTTTTCGGGCGTCCGGGGGCGGAGGGAGGGGAGCGCGCGTGCGCGCGCCCGGCCGTCCGTCGCCGCGGTGACCGTCCTCGGAGTCCGTCGGCTCGCGCCCCGCCCCCGTCCTGCTGCCCCCTCCCCTGTGGCGCTCGGGGGTGTTTCTCGCTCCTCCCGAGTTGCCGCCGCCGCCGCCGCCGCCGCCGCTGCCGCCGCCGCTGCTCCTCTTCTCCCAGTCTTGGGTTTCCCAGGCGCTGCTGCCGCCGCTACCTCTGCGGTCTGTATGAGGAGGAGGAGGATGTGAAGATGGCGGAGCTGCAGATGCTGCTGGAGGAGGAAATCCCGGGGGGCCGCCGGGCCCTCTTCGACAGTTACACGAATCTGGAACGGGTGGCAGATTACTGCGAGAACAACTACATCCAGGTGCGAAGCATGTGCCGGCCTGGGCGCTTTGGGCCTCTGGCTGGTGGACCCCGCGTGGGGGATCTCCGGGCCGGGGGCCGCGCGCCTGGGGGCGTTGGGCGCGCGGGGCCGAGGCCGCGGCGGGGACCCAGCCCAGCTAAGCCCCCGAGGGCGAGGGGTTGGGGGAGTAGGGTGGGAGCTGGGGCTGGTGAATTGGTGAGAAACCTGCGGCTGGAGGACATTGTAGCTTTAAAGCATTTTGAAAAAGCCATGAATCAGTCCTCGGTGCGGTGTGTGTGTGTGTGTGTGTGTGTGTGTGTGTGTGTGTGTTGTGTCCCCGCCTTTTCGCTTCTCCCCCTCGGCCGCCCCCGCACTCGGTACCCGTCAGTGTTCGGGATGGCGGAGGAGGCGGAGAGTGGCTTTTTCTATTTGACAGAATCCTGCTCCCCCACATAGCAGGGGTGTGGGGGGATTGATGGATCACCCCCATCCCCCAAGCTCTGGAGGATTTTTAAGGGGCTATGTTGCTGCAAAGTAAAGTGCCTTAGTTTTATATTCATATAAATGCCTCAAGAGACTGGTAATTTTGCTTATTTTTTTTAGTTTCTAACCGGGGATACAGTAGAAGAGCAGTTGTCTCTTTTTGGAAGTTGTTGCCATTTTCCTCCCTGTGGAGAATGAGAAACTGCATGATAACGAGCACTCCCCCCTCCCCATTCCCGTTAGAATAGTTAATTTTCCTGTGGGAAAAAGAATTGTGAGTATTTTTCAGCAGGGATTAGGAAATGATCCTCATGGTTTAATTTTTCCCGAGATGGATGGTTTGGCACGGAGACTCATAGTGATAACGTTGTGTGTATGTATATGGAAGTGGGGTATATTGGGTGAGATGAGATCCAGCTGCGCCTGTATGAAGCAAAAGATTCTGTGGATTAAAAAAAAATCCTTCTTAAAAATTATTTGAAAGTATAGGTTAAAACACTGCAAATTCAGCATCTTTTGTTTTCTCTATGGCTTATTCTGAATCACAGGTTCTACCTCCATTTTTTTCCCTTCCCATTTAAATTCTCTTGGGATAAAGGTGGAAATGGAAGAAGTATGTTAAATTGTTCTTTCACTATGGTCTTTTTCTTTTTCTTTTTCCTCCCTTACTCCCACTTCCATCCCTCCCGGCATCCTTAGTATCAGCTATGTTGGGAAACGCTCTCCAGTCTTAGTATAAACTAAAAAAAAAAAAAAGGTGTTAGAATTTATAGGCTCATGAATTTTGTAAGGATCGCATAGTTAATCAAGGATGTTATTGTGAGATTTTACTTGATTGGATATATAATGAACTCTCTATTATCTTGTAGGGACTATTTGTATTGGGGAAGGAACCAGACCTACTCCAAGGCTTTTCCCTCCAAAGAGGCAGTTGAAAGTATGGCTAATAGAAACAGAAAAAAATGTGTCTTGGGTCAAAGATTCATACAAAAAATACAGTGGTCCATATTTGGAGGGTGCTTTGCTAATACTGAGTGGGATAGGAAAGAGTCAAATGTTTAGTTGCTCAATTTTCAACTGAATATTATTCAAAAGTCTTCTATAGCCTGGCACAGTGTAAAGGGTTGATGATACACACCTAATGTCTACATAATTTTATAGTGTAGTTAATAGGAGAGGCTGATCTGTGAACAAATGAATAATGTAGTGTGTCAGTTTATACTCTGTAAGGGACTGAAGGTGGGAAGAAGGACTGGAGGAAGCTGTGCTATTCTCAGGGAATTCACAGTCTGTAGGAGAGGCAAATCTAAAGGACTGAGTGGTAATTCCATTGCCTCCTGCAACATATTATGGGATTATAAGTCAGAAGAGACATTGAGAGTGGAAAAGTGACTTGGTGGCAGTTATTACCAGGAGTAAAAAATGAGAAACAGATTTGTCTCTCTTTAGAAAATAATTTTTATTTTGATTTGAAGGTATAGTTTTTCTTAGATTACAATTGATACATAAAGGTAAAGTATATGGATTAATAAAGCTGAGAGGTTAAAGGGGTTAGGGATTGTCCTCTTTTTAAATATTTTATACATTTCTTCTAGTTGAGAGAAGAATATTACTGCCACCATTATCTGTTTGTTTTAGCAATAGGATTAAAAATTTAGTGTGGTGGCATTTAAAATTCTTAGTATAGATATTAAAAGAAATGGATTTAAAAATATTTTTTCAACTTAGCATCTAAAATAGATTTTATACTTTAGATTTTACCGCCTAGGTTATCATCTGTTTCATGATCCAGTGGGTATATCATTGGTGTTTTTCTCTTCCCAGATGACAGCTCTTTGCATGATTTGTTTGTAGTAAAGTTGATAAATAGAACATGCTGATTGTAGATTTCTGCTGACCCAGCTGTACATTTGACCCAACTGGCTCTCTTTGTGATCAGAGAACTGACCAGCAGTGGTTTTGATGCTGCCTCTTACCCTGCAAAGTTAATTGGTTGTCAGTTTAGCCTTGTTATAACGTCATGCCCTAACCACTAGCTTAAGTTAACCAACCTAACATTCATTTTATTTTGTGGAAATGTAATTTTTGCCAGTAAAGGAGAAAAAGATAAATCTGTTGATTATATGTAACAAAGGGTAAGGTTCTTTGTTCAGTGTTCTTAAATAGCTGGTTTTAACCATAGGAGTATCCAAATAATTATGTTAAATAAGAATATTCTAAATGTGGATTATATTTAGTGTAGATATTGAGCAAAGGAAGGAAAAATGATTGTGCTGTCCTTCTGAAAACAACTGTACTGTGTTTAAATTGTTTCTAATAAAAACATCCTTCAGATACATTACTGGCATTAAGAGTGACTAGGTATTGGGGCGCCTGGGTGGCTCAGTTGTTAAGCGTCTGCCCTTGGCTCAGGTCATGATCCCAGGGCCCTGGGATCGAGCCCCGCATCGGGCTCCCTGCTCGGCGGGAAGCCTGCTTCTCCCTCTTCCACTCCCCCAGCTTGTGTTCCCTCTCTTGCTATGTCTCTCTCTGTCAAATAAATAAATAAAATCTTAAAAAAAAAAAAAAGTGACTAGGTATTGCCTGTGTTAACACACACACATACAAAATCTACAGGTACAGCAGTGTTGTAAGTAGTAGTTTTCCAGGTTACTAATGCAGCTAACGTTAAAAATTTAAAAATAATTTTTAGTAAAAATTTAGATGGTTTTCTTTTATTATTTCAACCTCTAGAAAGAGTGATAGTAAAAGGATTTTTTTTCTAAAATGTGATGATAAAAAGTTACAACTAACATTTGCTGATATTTACCTGATTGATTTTATTTCTTCTCTGTAAAAAAGGCCTTAGTAATTGTTAAGGGTTTTTTAAGATACGTTAAGACCTGTGTTTCTTTTTTTCATTTATTAATATAAACATCGATACATGTATTAATATAAACATTGATACCTAATCTAAGAAGTATCCAGAAATTTTAAACAGTATTTTGATTGACTTGGAATCTACATTTTTACATTTAGGAGAGTTTTATGATGATATGAGTTGCTTTAGTGTTTTGGTAGATGAAATAAATTTATCGTTATTACTTTCTAGAGTAAATCTGGAAAACTAACTTTTAAAAAAAAATATTTATTTATTTGTCAGAGAGCACAAGCAGGGGGAATGGCAGGCAGAGGGAGAAAGAAGCAGGCTCCCCACTGAGCAAGGAGCCCAATGCGGGACTTGATCACAGGACCCTGGGATCATGACCTGAGCCAAAGGCAGATACTTAAACAACTGAGCCATCCAGGCATCCGAAAACTAACTTATACTTAGTTACATTTTTCCTTTTTTAAAAAGATTTATTTGAGAGAGAGAAAGACCAACACATGAGTGGGAGGGGCAGAGGGAGAGGGAGACAAGCAGACTCCTCGCTGAGTGGAGAGCCCCACTTGGGGCTTGATCCTGAGATCATGACCTGAGCTGCAAATGAGAGTTGGACACTTAGGCACCCCTGCCTTTTTTCCCTTTGTTAGATAAAATAGTTACTTTTTGTGAGTGATAATTCACATTAGATAAATAGTAAAATCGCATTGTCCATGGTTTGGAATAAGAGCAAAATCATCCAGTAACATGGATTTGCTCAGAAGAACAGAAATTCAAAATGTTTCTTAAGGGGAGCCTGGCTGCCTCAGTCTGTAAAGCATGCAACTCTTGATCTTAAGGTCATGAGTTAAAGCCCCATGTTGGGCATAGAACTTACTTAAAAGATAATAAAATAAAAAATACTTTATAAAAATTTTTTCAAAAACTATACCTTAAATTTTATCTGAAATATATCTATATATTTTTGCTTTTGAATAATAGGAGAGATGTCATTAGTGGCTTCCCTTTTTTGTCTTTATCAACAAGGATACTCCCAGAATTCATTAAAAATTGCGTGAAGGAGCTAATAAGAATCATGGAGCTAGGGCGCTTGGGTGGCTCAGTTGATTAGGCGACTGCCTTCAGCTCAGGTCATGATCCTGGAGTCCTGGGATCGAGCCCCACATCGGGCTCCCTGCTCAGCAGGGAGTCTCCTTCTCCCTCTGACCCTCCCCCCTCTCATGCTCTCTCTCTCTCTCATTCTCTCTCAAATAAGTAAATAAAATCTTAAAAAAAAAAATCATGGCGCTAATAGAATCATGGAGCTAATAGAATCATGGCTTGTTACCAGATTCATAAAAAAAGTCATTACTAAAACAATGTAAAGGTTTAAAATTCTTATTTAATAAAAACTATTTGAATACATGGCAATAAGTACATTTGTATCAATAATTACTTTGAATGTAAATGGACTAAACCCCCGAGCCAAAAGACATACAGTGACTGAATGAATAAAAAAGCAAGACCCATCTATCTGCTGCCCACAAGAGACTCATTTCAGACTTAAAGACACATACAGATTGAAAGTAATGGAATGGAGAAACATTTATCAAGCAAATGGATGTCAAAAGAAAGCTAGAGTAGCAATACTTATTCAGACAAAATAGACTTTAAGATTTTATTTACTTATTTTTGT